TCTGGGTCTCTGACAAGCATTATCCAAAAATGAATTATTTGTGGGGTCAGAATGCTCAACACCGCAAAGTAGTGCACACTTGTAATGGAACAGTTAGAGCACAGCTCCCATTCACTGGATCTCCTAAAACATCCATCAATGAACACATACATTGGGTATCAGAGGACAGCCAAGGCAGAGCGTCCATACAGCACATCCTCAGGGACTACCAACCTGCCATATACACTGCACAGTAGCTGGAACAATGAGGCCAGAACAGCTGCTTGCTTGCATTCCTTGAACTACGCACCACAGTGTGTACGCTTGGACACAGGCTGGGTCAACTGAAATAGCCAGTAGGTTTTCACTCACCTTCTCTGGATCATAGTCAGGTGCAGTCTTCTGCACTGCTACATTGGTGAGATGCACATCTGGCAGGGGGAGGAGGTAAGGATCATGGAGACAGAAAATGACACTCTAAATAATTAGAAATTGAATTTGGGTCCTAAGCCAGTCTCCAGTACTCCTTATGCCAATGAATCTCTCCTCCCTTCCCTAATTGTGGAGCTTATACCCACCACTGCAGGGAGACATCGGTGAAAAATTAAGAGAAAATAAATACAGATAAAAATGGAAATCTGGAACAACTAGTAGCAAAGCCCAGAGCAAGTTTTAGCCCCCACTGGCTCTTGTGATGGACTTACATGGAAGCTCTTCTCCTGGGAATGCAACCTAACCTCCGTGCAGAGCACTGGTGCCCAAGAATCTTGGAGACCCACTCTGGATTGCCTCATTAAAGCAACCCACCTTTTGATCACACTGAGCAAGAATGAGCAAGTTACTAAATATTTTACTAAGGAAAGTGGTGGAGTCTCTCTCTTGATGTCTTCAAGTCAAGACTGGATGCCTTTCTGGAAGAATAGGCTTAATTTTAGCCAAATACAAATTATGTTTTCGTTAAACACAAGTTATTGGGCTTAATACTGGGGTAACTAGGTGAAATGTAATGGGCTGTGATTAAGGCTACGATTTAGTCATGGGTATTTTTAATAAAAGTCATAGACAGGTCATGGGCAATAAACTATAACTACCCCGGACTAAATCTTGGGGGTGTGGGTCACTACTGGTGGCAGGCGCCTGGGGAGCTGCTACTGGGGGGGGGGGGGCAGCAGCACCAGCAGCAGGGGTCTCTGAGCAGTGGCTACCTCCGGGACCGCTGAGCAGTGGCTGTTCTGGTCGCCCCCGGGACCGCTGCTCAGACGGTTCCCAGGGCCAGCTGCCTGGAGCTGCCCGAGCAGCAGCTGGTGTGTTGGCCCCTTGGCCACTACAGCAGCGGCTGGTGCGGCTAGCTGCGGGGCTGCCCGAATGGCTGGCTCCAGAGCCGCTGTGTAGCTTTCCCTGGGGCCACCAGAGCAGCTGGCCCCGGAGCCAGCTGCTTGGGCGGCCCTGGAGTCAGCCACACTGGCCGCTGCAGATGTCACAGAGGTTGTGGAAAGTCACGGAATCCGTGACCTCCATGACAGACACGAAGCCCTAGCTGGGATATCCAGGAGGCCAGACTAGATGACCCTTCTGGCCTTAAACTCCATGAATCCATGAAAAAAGCAGGCTGCAATAAGTGCACCTGTACTACGGAAGTGGGACTGATCTCCCACGTTTGGCCCTAGCTGACTGACGTTTCTGGAGATCCACTGACACCAGTATTCCAAAGACAGAAGGTGAGAGCGAAACAAGATGACAGCAGAACAGCCAGTGAGAAACAAAAGGAGAGGATGAGAATTCTGTAAGTATCCAGAAGTCAGGAGCTTAGAGATAAGGGTACTTGTTCTTCTGGACCAACCTCCCAAAATACTAAAATGGTAGATTCCATTACTTAGCAACTGCCCTGTAACACACAAGCAGAGGTCAGGATACAATGATCATCTATGCTACTTAGAGTGAAGCGTGTGTTGGAGAAGCGAGCAAAGCCATCCCGATATAACCAGGCCTTCAGCGGGATGTACTGAGAGAAAGGGGAGAGAGAAACTGAGGGTGAATAGCAAGAAAATCCAACCCAGTCAGTGCAATAAAAATAAAATGGACTTCTGCACTTACAGACATCACTAGAACATAAACTCTCAAGTCAAACTTTCGACCTGCGAATCAAAGAGAAATATATAGCAATATAACATAGTGAAATTTGTGCTAAGTCATACCTAGTGTTACAAAAACCCAAATTAGAATTTATCTACACACAGCCATGCACCAAAATAACTAGATGGGTCTTAAGTCACACCTTTTGTTGTTTTGGTACAAATCTGTGAATGGACATGAATTTCGGATTAAGACAATTTAAATCAGTAGGATGCTCTTGATCCAAAATAAGTGGCCACATACAGACTTGCACCAAAACAACAAAAGGTTTGCACTAAAACGTTTTGGTGCCTGGTTGTATGAAGACAAGCTCTTAGAGAAGAACCTGCTACCATATGACAGTGTGGCTGGACTTATCTTTAATGTGTGTGGCTTGAACAAAAATTAGACCTAATACATCGGATCACCTCTGTATTCTCAAAATCTTTTGGGGCAGGACCACTAAACTACCACACCAGCAGCACTGACTGTGTGCAGCATTCTACGATTCACATTTAAATCCATAAATAGCTAATTTCAGGCAAGAACTGACCATATAAAGTCTTAACCTTTATCAGACAGGTGATCTGGGGATCTCCCTCCCTATGTGACAGGAACATCATAGGTAGAGTGTCTCTCTCCACATGTCAGGCAGATACAGACTGAAACAAACATCTTACCTCCTATTAAATATGGGTTTTCAATATAGCACTGAGCTACATAATTCTCTACTTGAGTTTCATCTTTCTGATCATCTGTACGGACCCCATCCTGCAAAATAAAACAAGTTATTTCTTCTCCGTGGACAAGACTGAACAAGGAGAAAAATCAAATCACAAGCACTCACAGGATTCTCCAGTCAATCTGTCCCAGTTTTAGATTTCAGATCAACGACAAAACATCCCACCTTTTGTTTTGTGGGACAGTGAGAAAATCTGTTATAATCCTGGTGAGTGGTGATAAGTGTTACATGTGAAAGCTGTAGATGGGGACAGTAAGTGACTAGTAAAGGTACGTAGATAAAGTTACAGTTGAAAGACCAAGGCTCTAGATCAGCGGTCCCCAAACTTTTGAGGGTCGCACCCCCCCTTACCCCTGTCCCCCTGAGCCGGGGCCAGAAGCGGGACCATGGCTGGGGGACACAGACAGGGGTAAGGGAGCTGAGGCTGGGGCCGCAGCTGGGGGGTGGGTCGGGGGCAGGAGTGGAGCCACAGACGGGCTGCAGTGGGGGCCAGCAGCCGGGCCCACGGCCAGGTGCTCCGCTCCCGGCCTTGGCCCTGGGCCAGGAACAACTGCCAGCCAAGGCTGGGACTGGGGCCACGGGCACGCGGGGCTGGGAGCCAGGGATGCGGCTGGGGGCTGGACTGGAGCAGAGCTGGGAGTGGGGAGGGACTGGTTGCACTCCCTCCCCGCCCACGTGGGAACTGGCCTGGGCCCTGCCACGCTCCCCTGGATGGTCCTCCACCTCCCCGTAGGGGGACGCGCCCCACACTTTGGTGACCTCTGCTCTAGGTGGACCTTCCCAAAAAAAAAATGTGTGGTGTGAGAAGAGAAAGTACACGTTTCACCTTCCTCCAGTCAATGACGTCCTTGAGTTTTCGGAACAGAAAAATGCCTTTCCCTTGTGACCTGGCAACCTGCAGCATAAAGGAGAAGGGAGGTGTTAGCCGCGTTGTTCTTAAGTTTTCTCACTCGCCTCCAGCTGGGAACAAGTGGTTACTGAAAGAAATCTTATTTCTGTAGCACCATGGTAGCTAACGGAAGATCCAGGTGGCTGCCCTTTTTACAGTTGTTGGCAACTCTCACACACAGCAGTTAGCATTCCCTTCAGGAACAGATGCTGTTCTCTAAAAGGTAATTATGGAAGCATCTGTTGCGCACCCTGATTCATCATTTATTTATTAAGCACCCAGTTGGCATTCTGGGTGCTGTACAAAGTTAAAAACAGGAGACTCAACAGAAGGCATTGGTCAGTAACACCATATTGTGGCACTGGTACAGCATTTATTATTATTAATTTGTGTTACCTGAACACCTAGGAGCCCTACCATGGATCTATTTGAAGGGCTGTCTTTTGGGTGAAAGACAAAACCAGGGTTCTGGCCACTTAACGTCATTTAACTTCTGTAAGAATAAGAGTGTCAACCCCATTCTTGGACAAATTCCTACTCAGGTAACTAAGTTCTCCCTGCAGTTTCACATAGGTAATTGTATCCTATTTCACTTCCTGTCCTGAACTGCTGTGTTGTGCTGCTTGGACCGAATCCTGAGAGGTCAAGGATCTCAGAATCAGGAACTTAAATGCTGCTATTTGAGTGGTGGGTGAACTGGTCCATATATTTATGCAGGCATATTGTGAGGCTTAACGTTTTGTAAAGCACTTTGAGCTCCTTGGATGAAAGGAGCTATAATATTAATATTAATTATATAAAAAGTCAGCTAAAACCCCACACAATTCCAGTTCAGACGAATAAGTCAGTGCTTTTCCATATTGTGTTTAAAAAGGCTGAAGCTAGAAAAAGCAAATACTTGATGGTGTGTGGTGATAGAAGGGTTTTGATGGGATTCATGAGTGGGAATGCCATCAGTTTTACAGCCATTACAAAGGAGAGGCACTAAAACCTTTACATCACCACATACCATCATGGGTTTTGTTATTCCACATTTTAGACAACAGTTACCTTAGATTTTGTAAGTAGTTTAATAAGTTTTTATTGGGACTATTTTTCACATCTGTCTGTGTGTAAAGCCAGGTTGCCTTAGTTACTAGCTACAGGCCATGGAGTGACAGTAAAGTTAAATTTTAAAAACCTCTAAAAATGAAGCTATTTTCTATAAATCCAGAGTGACACGATTTTAAGATCCAATCCTTCATGGCCTTAGGAAGATAGGCCGAGGATAGAAACAAGTTGCTTTACACCCTTGGAACTCCTGAAATCCCAGTTCTCCAGTGTGATAAAACAAGTGTTTCTAGCTTCAAACTGCCACTGAGCCAAGACAATAGATCATCTCTCTAAGTTTAAGTTTCCATTTTTCCTGCTGCATATTTGTGGGAAAAGAAGTAAAGTGGCAGAGACTTTTCCCCCTCTTTTCTTTCAATGGTGGCTCTCTGAAAGTAGCTCAGATGTTAGACGTAGTCTAAGGGGAGATGGCTTAGTGGGCAGAATGGGACCAAATAAAAAGTTAATCACACAATTGCAGAAATATAGTAACACAACATGTGTTTTTGATTTAAGCTGTATCTGTAGTCTGTGTGTGTCACAGTAGCATTTAATGAGACAGGGGATACAGCAACAGTCCATCATGAGAGATGCGAGCAACCTACAACAAGCTGCAGGAGAGAATGAGCTTGAAGATCACCAGGTTTGCACTGCACATTAAAAGCGGCCTGAAGCTGGCTCTGATGGACCACCCACTAAGAAAGTTCTATCACCAGCCCCACAAGAGCTCAACCCTGGGACCAGAATTACCCCCCACCCCAAACACAACTGCAACACTCACGGACTATCTGAGACTGCAAGATCTAGATCCTTTCAAGAGCACAGAGTGACATGAGGAGTAACACAAAGTTTATTTTTACTTGTGAGTTTTGAGGTCAGCCACAAACTACTTCATTCCAGTTGTCGGTATAATTTTTGTGGCCACAATCTTTTAATATATTCTAATTTATTGTATTCAGATTATTTCCAATGATAATTGAGGTTGTGGGCACAAAATATAAGCCGTAATATAAGGTTTCTTGTTGCTGATTAACCCAAATTAACATTTGTAGACTTGGATAATCACTAGCTGTTATCCTCATGGCTGTAATTAAATTGTTAGTTTGCATAATTGCCTCCCATTCACTACTTATAAACCCACTCTTATTGATAGGCCTGATCTGCAGAGTGAGACAAACTGTCTTGTCCCCTCCTACCAGACCTGCTGTGCAGAGCAAAGTAACTGTCCTGTTAAGACCCTAAGACTGGCCATACTGCATCAGACCTAGCCCAGTATCCTGTCTTCCTACAGCGGCCAGTGCCAGATGCTTCAGAGAATGATCAGAACAGGGCAATGTATCGAGTGACCCCCATCCCTTGTCATCATGTCCTCCATGAACGTACCTAATTCTTTTTAACCCAGTTATTCTTTTGGTCTTCACAACGTCCCCTGGCAACAAGTTGCACAGGTTGACTGTGTGTTATGTGAAGAAGTCCTACTTTATGTTTGTTTTAAACCTGCTGCCTATTCATTTCACTGGGTGACCCCTGGCGCTTGTGTTAGGGTTACCTAAGAGGTAACTAACACTTCCTTATTCACTCTCTTCACACCATTCATAATTGTATAGACCTCTATCATATCCCCCCTTAGCTGTTTCTTTTCTAAGCTGAACAGTCCCGCTCTTTTTAATTTCTGTTCATATGGAAGCTGTTCCATACCCCTAATATTTGTTGTTGTCCTTCTCAGTATTTTTTCCAATTTCCTTTTTTTTGAGATGGGGTGACCAGATCTGCACGCAGTATTCAAGGCGTAGGTGTACCATAGATTTATATTCTGGCACTATGACATTTTCTGTCTTCTTATTTATCCCTTTCCTAATGGTTCCTAACATTTTATTAGCTCTTTTGATGGCCACTGCACACTGAGCAGATGTTTTCAGAGAACTATCCACAATGACTCCAAGATCTCTTTTTTGAGTGGTAACAGCTCATTTAGATGCCATCATTCTGTATGTATAGTTGGGATTATGTTTTCCAGTGTGCAGTATTTTGCATTTATCAACATTGAATTTCATCTGCCATTTTGTTGCTCAATCATAGAAATGTAGGATTGGAAGGGACCTTGATAGGTCATCTACTTCAGTCCTCTGCACTGAGACAGAACTAAGTATTATCTAGACCATCCCTAACAGGTGTTTGTCTAACCTGCTCTTAAAAGCTCCAGTGATGGAGATTCCACAACCTCCCTAGGTCATTTGTTCCAGTGCTTAACTATCCTTACAGTTAGGAAGTTTTTCCTAACGTCTAATGCTAACCTAAATCTCTCCTGCTGTAATTCAAGCCCATTATTTCTTGTCCTGTCCTCAATGGTTAAGGAGAACAATTTATCACCCTCCTCCTTGTAACAACCTTTTATGTACTTGAAAGCTATCATCATGTGCTCCCTCAATCTTCTCTCTCCAGACTACACAAAGCCAATTTTTTCAACCTTTCCTCATCGGTCATGTTTTCTACACCTTTAACTGTTTTTGTTGCTCTCCTCTGGACTTTCTCCAATTTTTCCACATCTTTCCCAAAGTGTGGTGCCCAGAACTAGACAAAATACTCCAGTTGAGGTCTTATCTGTGCTGAGTAGAGAGGAAGAATTACTACTTATGTCTTGCAAAAAGAACAAGGAGTACTTGTGGCACCTTAGAGACTAACAAATTTATTTGAGCATAAGCTTTCATGGGCTAAAACCCACTTCATCGGATGCATGCAGTGGAAAATACAGTAGGACGATATATATACAGAGGACATGAAAAAATGGGTGTTGCCATACTAACTATAATGAGAGTAATCAGTTAAGGTGGGGAGTACCCAGAAGTCACCTACTACAGGACAGGCCCAACAAAGAAAGTAACAGAACACGACTAGCCTTCAGCCCCCAACTAAAACCTCTCCAGCGCATCATCAAGGATCTACAACCTATCCGGAAGGACGATCCCTCACTCTCACAGATCTTGGGAGACAGGCCAGTCCTCGCTTACAGACAGCCCCCCCAACCTGAAGCAAATACTCACCAGCAACCACACAACAAAAACACTAACCCAGGAACCTATCCTTGCAACAAAGCCCGTTGCCAAACTCTGTCCACATATTTATTCAAGGGACACCATCATAGGACCTAATCACACCAGCCACACTATCAGAGGCTCGTTCACCTGCACATCTACCAATGTGATATATACCATCACGTGCCAGCAATGCCCCTCTGCCATGTACATTGGCCAAACCGGGCAGTCTCTATGCAAAAGAATAAATGGACACAAATCGGACGTCAAGAATTATAACATTCAAAAACCAGTTGGCTAGGGCAGCGGGGGGCAGTCAGGGGCGGGGGGGCATTAGGGGACAGGGAACGGGGGGGGGTGTTGGATGGGGCAGGAGTCCCAGGTGGGCCATCAGGGGGCAAGAAGCGGGGAGGGGGGTCAGATAGGGGGCAGGGGTGGGTTTCTTTGGTATTTTCTTCCCTACAAGTATGTTATATTTAATTACATTATGGTTGCTATTACCGAGCAATCTGGCTATATGCACCTCTTAGACTAGATCCTGTGCCCCACTTAGGACTAAATCAAGAATTGTCTCTCCCCTTGTGGATTCCAGGACTAGCTGCTCCAAGAAGCAGTTATTAATGGTGTCTAGCAATGTTATTTTTGCATCCCATCCTGAGGTGACATGTTCCCAGTCAACATGGGGATAGTTGGGGATAATCTCCCATTATTATTGGGTTTTCTAGTCTCTCTGTTCTCCCTGAGCATGTTACGGTCACTGTCGTCATCGAGTTAGGTGGTCCGTAGTATATTCTTCTCCTATACTCTTACTAGTCAAGCGTGGAATTTCTACCGTAGAGATTCTATTATACTGCTTGATTCATTTAAGATTTTTACTATATTTGC